TGACATGCTTTCTGTGGTATTTTGCTTATCCAGGTATTCTTATGCTGGAGGCCACCAGTGGCTCAGCATGCGTAGATGCAGTTTGCTGCTGGCTGTTTTGTTAGAGATTGAGAATGATTTACAACCAGATCTTGACAGAAATGTTCTCATTAACTCCTTCCCCCCATTAAAAAATGCAGATATCGAGTTTGTTGCCTCCTTTTGCCAGTTCACAGACTGACAACCCTGAGCTCAAACCACCCGATTGTCTTCTGCTTTCTAGAGGTGGCTTAATCCAAACTCCATCGTCTTGCTACCCTCAGACCCACCTCTTCATCTCTGCCTTACTTTGTTCTTGCCCTCGTCAACACTTACTCTACTACATAATTGTTCAGACATCTCACAGCAGGTTGAAGTTGAGAGGTCAAGTGAAGAAAGAATAAGAATAGGATCTGACCTGCTGCAAGCTCTTTCAGATGCAAAGGACATGAAGAAAAACGAATTGCACTGAACTGTAATCTTCCATATTTACTCTTTGATTATAAACAGTGAGGTCTATGCTATGAACTCTTACACTCCTCCCCACATCCAAATGCGTTGCCACAGTCAAAGGCAACATAGGTTCATTCATCCCAAAGGCAATCACCTGCCTGCTTGGGGCTCTATCATATTTTCTGTTCCTTCACTGGCAGTGTGTTGTTGGGCCAAGAATATATTACTTATTTTGGCACTATTCGCCAGCTCCAAATCAGCCACACAGACTTACAGTGCTGTAAAGTCATAATGATGCAATCACAGTAGAGTGGTCAAATGCATATGAGGTGTATACATAAAGTAAAACTAACTCACTGCCTCTACAGCTCTGCTCATGTAGCAGTTGCTTTTCTGATTGCATAAAGCATACTCTCCCCCTTTATTTCTCCTCTTCAACCCAGAAGGACTTTGTTTCTCTGTGCTCTTACCACTGTTTCTGATCAGTAGCCATAATCTACAACTGAAATGGAACAATTGGCTATGGTGGGGCTGAAAATATAATATCAAAACATTAAAGTTGATCCAAAAAATAAGTGACATAAGCCACTAATTTCCACAGAAACCATGACTATTTTCCAGCAAAACATACAAAGGAGAATATTCAAAACAAATCTTAACATGTATCAGCACATTACTTTCCAAATAAGATATTTTTCACTTTTTATTTTTGTTATGGAGAACTAGAACTCATAATTTAGAGAAGATATTTTTTATAGATGGTACTCCAAACTATAGCTGAACCAAAGACTATGACTTTGTTGCAGGATCTCTCCAAAAGTCACATCACAGTCACTTGGATTTCCTTGTTGAACAGAAATGGCCCAACTCTGCTTTTGCACCAAACCCAAGCTGTTTGTTTCTGCCTTGGCTTCCATCTTGGGCCATCTCTGTATGAAAACAGACAGTTTTCACAACACACACTCGCAACTGAAGACTATTTGCATTGTCTCTTTCTATAAAAAGACTAATACCATCACCTCTCCTTTGGATCTGCACATGAGAGAGAAAGAAAAAAAAATGCTTTTGTGACCTACAAAAGCCTTACTTGAAATAATTCTCTACGACTTGAGGCCTTTTGGAATGGAAGGGATATATTGTTTTGACTTGATTAAAGCTGAAAAGTTGATTTGACATCCTGTTGTCAAGGAAACCAATTCACACACAAAAGAAAACAGTTGTGATGGTATCATTCAGACTATTCAAGTGACCTTAGAAAGAAAAAAAGGCTTCAGTTCCAAAGATTTGTATTCAACTCACTTCACCACTGTAGAAATAAAGATCATTGCTCTTTATGCTTATTGGAAAGCAGTTTTCAATCTGGAAAAAGCAAAATGCCACATCTTCTTCCAACTGCCAGATCCAATACTTTGCTGGGACTGTACACATAAACACACCTACCATTTACTGCCTATTTCAAAGAAGCTCAGGAAGAATCACGCAGAAGACGTATAGGGAAGGAGAAGAAATTTCGTTAGTTGACAGGACTGTGATAAATACCCCTTGACACATACCACACCTATTGAACAGCAGCTTGCAAGCCAGGCTTTAAAACATCCTCCTCAGCTACAAATAAAGCTTACCTTGAGCACAGCACTGTTTGAGCCCAGCTTTGTTTTCCTGTGAGATAGCAAAAAGCAGGATTTTTATTTTCTCTGCCAGCCTCCTAGATCCTCCAAATTTTAATTGTTCATGCATGCAATAAATGGGATGCAGGTAAGTCCAATCTGCTCACTCCTCCTACTGAGAGAATCCCAAAGAGGCAGAACTGTCCTGCTGACCACTACCACCACCATCCAGCTTTGCAGCCCATATAAGTCTCACTGAGGTTTAATTCCCTGACAGCTGTGGGTAGATTGGAAAAACAAAACTTTCTATCTATCTGTTCACACACTGTAATTATACATCTCTTTCTCTGATGACACAGCCTCTGCCTGGCCGAGTAAGCAGGCAGATGACTAAATAGCAACTTATCTGGAATTCATATTAGAAAAAAATAGGCATGATATTAATAAGGAGGGAAATACACTGAGGAACGAATGCCAGTGTTCTTACATTATTGTCATTTAAGGGCATCACACCAAAGGTCATGGAGATAATAAGCCTCAGTCATTTTCCATTTGTTACACAACATACAAATTGCCACAGTGTTAATGAATATCTTTCCCCATTCCTGGCCAGCCAAGACACTGTATTATTTATTCTTAGACAAGCACCTACCCCTTGGAATTCATTATTTCCATCACTTCTTGCAGCACTTTGTCCTTAGGGCTGAGCATAAATGCCACAAGGCAGCTGTGGCTGGAGCATCAAATGCTTCATATGCCTGAGTCTGACTTTCTTCTGATAGAGCATTTTTGCTGAAAGTGCATACAAAGCATATTTATACTATTTATGATCATCTATGCACACACATTCATATATGCTCTCTTCTTGCAAGTGTCTTAAGCCCCTTGCAGAACACACAAAAAAATCTTTTTTATTGACTCTACTTTGTAGATATCGTTTGATACTTACATATTGAAATAATAGTTATGCTAGAAACACCAACTGACCACAACAATAGAAGCTACCATGAAATAACCGAATTTCCACTTAAAAAGATGACAACTGGAAAGTAGTTCTTGGAATATTCACAGAAATGTGGAAGGGCTTGTACGAAGGAATATACTGCTTAAACCCTCTTTACTCCTAATAAACTGCTAAGAGCTAAGATTGCACAGCTGAGCTATAGAGAGAGGAATGCCTCATTTCTAATCTGTACTTCATTGTATTTAAAGTTTAGGAATTTTGCATAAATATAGATAGCAACAGCTGAACTAAATTCATATTATTTCATAAACTGAGGGGTTTTTTTAAGACGATAAATTATACTGTAAGTTTAATTATGGTTCACCATAAGTATAAAGAACATGCAGATGAAAAGAGAATATTGAAGGCTGGTAGCTTTGTACAGTTCTGAAAAAGACTAAACTTTATGTGCATAATTAGAATTAGAAAGAAATGAATGAAGGCCAACACCAAATGCTGAACTAAAATAAGCCAAAGTTACTTTCTGCATGTAATCAAACAACCTCCACCTCTGTCCCCGAGACTGAAACACCACACACTGCATTTTAATGAACATCTTACCTTGGTATTTTCTCCTCTCCCACCCGACAAACCCAAACAGCAAGAGCCAGAAAAGAAGCAAGCTGATGGCACTGCTAAGCTTACCCACAAACAGGTCCATACTCCTTTATGAGTTTTGTGTGGTTTTCCCAAAAGCCCTGGATAAAAGAAAAATGACAAAGTATTTTAGAACAGTACTTAACAGAGAACCTATTATACAGTGTTGTTAACGCTCAGACCAAAGCTTCGAGCTTCAACTAGCAGAACTATGGTATGGCAGAGGGATAGAACTAGATGATCTTAAGGTCCTTTCCAACCCTAACTACTCTATGATTCTATGATTAACTCATAGATCTCGCCTTTCTCTCACTGTCCATCTCTGACAGCAGAGTCTGGAAATTATGACTGAAAAAAAAGTCCCAACCCCAGAAAAGACCTGGAAAGCCTTGAAGCATTTTTTCATCAGGGTTTTACACTCCAAAATACGTTACCATTTAATGATTATTTTTTTTTTTTTAAGTAATTTCAAGATTAGGGTCCTGACGCATAATATTTTCTGATGTGTGTGTGGATGGAAAAACTGACAGAGAAATTAATAGCAGAATAAGCATATGACTTACTACACTCAAGAGAAACACAGGGAATGTGAAAAAGGTTTTCTTGGGTTGCTTTTAGTTATATTATTTATAAAAAACAATCAAAACCCAAACCTGCAAAGCTGGAGTTTAGCATGACGCAGTCACCTGGGACACGCTGCAGAACAGCAAGCAGATTTATTTTAACAAACTTTTAGAATTTTTACTGTGTTTCATTTTCATAATTGATGAAAATTGGTATCCATTTATCTAAATAAACCTGCCACTAGACTAAATTGTTAGTGTCCTAAATGAATTCAAATTGATTAATCTGAAAGAAGGTGTGCAAATGTATCCCCAAAGTGAATAGAAAAAAATCTGTTTTATCAAAACTGCGATGTTTGAGAATCATATTGCGTTGTGTTTGTAACTTGTCTATGGAAAAAATAACACATTTGACTGCATTAATCTGCATTTATATTAATTCAAGAAAGACTATTGTGATCTATCTTCATTCTTCAGAGAAAATCCACTAACAAAGCAGAATACTTATGCCTCATATTGACTCTTTCCTATTTTTTATGACACACTGCAGAATATTAGCTAGAACAATATGAACTGTTTTACACACATTAACTACAGACATAAATAAACAAGACCATATAATGTGTGCATGTTTTGGGATCATTTTACCACACTAAGCAAAAGAAAATCTGGTAATCAAAAGTAGTTATCCTATTTAGCACCCAAATCAACAAAGAATTTGCACCACCTACAGTCCTCCTCTTATAAAACCCTTGATATGTCTTTTATTCTTATATAGTTGTGCTTTATTTAGTTTTAAATCCTGGACTTGCAATATGTTTTGGGTTTTTTTTTTTTAAAGGACAATATGTCTCCGGGTTAAGTCAAGAACTTTAGGTTTTCCTTAAGGTACACAAAGTTAAAGCACTGGATGGTGTGTAAGAAAACACACTAGAGATAAAATCATGAAAGTGTTGATTTAGATGATTACCTGAAAAAATACATATTCTCACCTGGAAAATACTTTACTACTAAGGTAAGCAGAAAAGCCTCATTCATTAGCACCCAGAATCTAAGGTGGACAAAGCCTTTGTAATACCACAAATACAGCTAACTCAAAAAGGCTTTTATCTGAGACACCAAAGGAGGGGAAAAGATACATACACATTCACATCGACCTGCATTTTGCTATAGAGATGCTTCAGCAGTAGCAGGATTTCAGCCTACAATTGCTACGATTTCATCATTACAAAGCTTGCCTACTGCCTTCCCCTGCTGATGCAAGGGGAAATCCTAGGGGCAAATTCTCCCAGCGCTGTTCTCCAGGCAGCCACCGAAGGCTGCCTAAAGCAGTCTCAGTTCATCAGTGCACTCTGACTGCTTTGCCTGGCAGAGTGGCTCCAACCTGGGTACACACAGCTGAGATTTACAGCCACACTGAGGCACCAGAGTGACACAGGGCACAGCTTGAGGTTATCAGGCATTTGAACATGGGGTGCAAAGCACTGCTATATCACAACAGTGTCTGTTGCATGGGGCAGAGGGATTTCTAGCCTTGCAAGATGATGCCAAATCAGGTCTGCCCTCCCGCCCACTTTCCTCCTAGCCTGAGCCTTCAGTAAGGACATCCCAAAGTACAGCCTGAACCTTGCCTTCTAAGTTTTACTTTGGATTGCGAGCACGCACATACGTATTGCACTTGCTGTATCTATCAGCTGCATTCCAGTGAGCCAGCAGGATATTAACATTTACAAGAAGCCTAGGCTTGAAATCATTCAGTGAAAAAGCCTTCCAGAAAGCCGGCTTCTTGGAAGTGCTGCTCCTGGCTCACTCAAGTAGAGGGGTCAGGGAGAGCACATTTAAAATCAAGCCTGTTAACCAGTAACTGGTTTTCCACCTCCAGGTCTCATAAATGATTGCACTGGCTTAAGATTAACCACACTTCATTTTTCTTCCCCAAAGCGAGACGTACAAGGCTGCAGGATATGGGGGGAGAGGAGGAGTTGAAAAATATCTGGGAGAGATTGTGAGAAAGCATCCTCAGGAGTAAAAAAAGCACTTGTTCTTTCACTCTGGGACACTTTCTCACATCCTGCACGACCACACACATGAACACACCACTGCATGCCTCCAGAATCCACCCCCAGGACCCACTGCTATCCTGGTCTCCTTCACAGGCATCCTGGAGCAGGTCTCATCGGGCTGCTGGGAAAGAGAAGCAAATGGCACATGAAGAATCCTGGGAGGCTGCAGTAGCTGGGGCTCAGGCAAGGCAGAGCATGCCCTCCAGCTGTAGGAAGCTGGGGCTGTATGAAGGCACTTGTGTTTCTTCTCAATAGTCACGAGAAAGGCCAATGAACCAACGCGATGGTCTCACTACACAGGGAAGGGATATGCCACATCCACATCACTCTGCCACTTTTACAGCCTGAACACTACTTGCAGTAGACAGGTACCTTGAAAACATCCTCCTCCTGCTATGAGTCACGTTTGAAGCACAGCAAGACTCGTAAGTGTTTTTGGTAACTTATTTACACTAGCTGAGCTCCAAGGCTTATTACTGCAGGTTTCTCCAGGTTTATAACTGCAATTGTACTTAGTACCTACAGGAAAACTAAGCACTTGCCCATCAACAGCAACTATTTCACTAGAAAACGGAGGTCAAGACCTCTCTTTGACTCAAGATTGCCCAGTGGGTAACACCAGGAGAGACAGCAAACTCAGAAATGGTGCCTGCTGACATGTACCCAGTGGCTTGAACAGCCATAAGATAGGAGCTATAATGAAGCAGTGTGAGGGTTCAGAAGGGGATAATCAGGCAAAAAAAGGAAACATATATTCTGATGGTTTTGGAAAACAGAAGGAAACTGAAGAGCAAAACAACACTTGGTATTCCAAGATGACACCGTGTACATCAGGAAGAACCATAGCACGTTAAACAGTTACTCGTAACAATGAAGTGTAAAAGCATAGTAATGCTATTCCAAGTCAGAAAAATCACTTAGCTTTTACTTTGTTCGGAAGCTGCAGAATATGAATTGTCATCAACAACTACTCAGGAAAGGGTTGGGGCAGGGGGGATTTGTCATGTGTGGCCTCTACAGTGAGGTACCGGCCTGATGACAGCCCATTATGAAACAAGATAATGCAGGAGTATGAAAAGCTTCTTTCCCTGAAGAAAGCATATTTTACAGCATCTGGTATACCATGGAAACAGCAGCTCAAGTGGGCTGACTGCTGCACACCCAGAAGGCTTCTTTGTTTACATGGCTGGCAGTTGCCTCCCTACAGGGAATTTGCATTCTCCCCTTCCTCTGAGTGTATATCATCAGCTGCATCTGTGGGCAGAACCACTCATAAAGCCAAACCTTGCTCTCATGGATACAGGTGCAACCCTATGGAAGGGAACAAGATTTGTGTCTGCATCAGCCAGAGCGAAGCCTGGTCATGGTCAACCATGATATTGAGATATTGAACACTGAAGCTTCAGCTTGAGCAGCACATACATGAAGGGGCTTCAGAAAGGACTCCATTGGCTCAAGTATCCCCTTCCCTTTTTTCAACAGATTCTGCAACTCCAAGATGGATCCTTCAGCAATTCCCTCCATGTTGCATATTCACCTTGCTAGCTCCTCACAGCAAGGAAGAAATCTGCAGCAATGTCATCTTCTCTCCTTGCTGAAAATGGTTGTAGGCACTAAGCCAAAGGTATCAGAAAGAGGCAGTAGTAGTATGGGTGTCAGTTTCTGACGTATCTAACATGAGGCATATCCAACCTATTAATTTTCGTTACTCAATACCTGCAGATCTTGTGGCTGTAAATGGGGACTTAAGAGACTTTAAGGTTAAACTCAAGCTTAAGTGACCCAGACTGCATGCAGGATGCTTTGTAACTTTTCAGCTTGTTGTAGCTGGAAAACAAATCTTGTGGTTTATGAATTTAGCTAGAGTCCGCAAGGGTCACTGGGTAAAATGAAGAGGGCCACAAAGCTGGGATCCAGCAGACGCATGCACCTCACAGTAGCTCACAATTTGGCCTCCAAAAATTGACTTCCAGAATGCAATGAGGGCAGCCCTTGAATTTTGTAGTGTATCAAATGCCACAAAAGCTAGTGAGCTGTGTGGAGATGGATGTGGTATGCCCATCAAAATCCAGTGCAAGTCGGAAACATTAGCCATGCAAGAATAGACAAGTGAAAAAGGGTTCTTTTGTTGCCCCTTCACATATTACCTGATGTCAGTCACTTACCAAGACAGCCTGGATTCAGACCTGTGACTCAAAAGCCAGCAATGCCACATCTTATCACTAGGCCTGTATTTGCTTCACCCTCACCACCCTGTAAGTCAGACATGATGTTCTGTTTCACTGCAATATTAATAACCACAACATCAGTGTATGAGTGCACACCTCATATTAAGAGACAAAAATCTATAGTTAGTTATGGTACATAATGACAATGAATGACATCTATGGATCAGATTTTTAGTATTCAATGGGTTTCACATGTCTTTTTTCCTTAGACCACCAAGAAAAAAACAAAAAAAAAAAAACAAAAAAA